TGCAGTCTCCATCCCTGGAGACATGTAAAGGCCGCCTGGACACTATCCTGGGCAACCTGCTCCAGGCGGCCCTGCTTGAGCAGGGGGGTTGGAGAAGGTGACCTCCAGAGGGCCCTGCCGTCCTCAACCAATCTATGCTTTCAGATAATACCTGCTAAGCCCCGAGTCCTAACCCACAGTACTCACTGCCAACCACCACCTCTTCTGCAAGAGAAAGCTGCTCCATTGGGTTACTCTTCTGGGAATGATCTCGCTTATCTTCTTGCTGGTTTGCAGGTGTTTCTGGAGATACAAGAGTCATTCTGTCAACACGCTCATGATCAAGGATTAAGTCCTCAGAATGTCTTTGGATCCTTCCCTCACTTGCACCCACACTGGTTTCCAGACCCATCAGCTTTGCTTCCTCTTGAGCTGCATCAGAAATCTTGCTTCTCTGTGCTGAAGTTTTTGAATCCGATAGCTGTGGTTCGAGAGCCGAAAGCTTATTGTGGCTCTGTTCATCAAACTGAGGCTGAACAAAGAGCTCCGTGTTACTCAGCACAATTTCTGCATCACTTGTGAGCGTGCTTGTTCGAATCCCAGATGCAGTTCGGGAGTCCACAAGATAGTTCTGTGCTGTTTGGATAAAGTTTTAAAACATGTTTTACGTGAAATATGTTCAAGGTCATAGGAACACCCATGTACTGCCAGTACTCGCATAATCAAAAATTTAAGTCATTCAACCAAATTGTATTCACCCTCCACAGATCAAACAGTGAAATTCTATCACCACACTTCAGTGCCCCTAACTTTCTCTTCCAAACCATCACCCCAGTACCCACAGTTGTGAACACGATCCCAAATGATTCCTGCAGTAGAAGTCACCTAACTGGGTGAAGCACATATTTATGTGCACAGAATCAAAGCAACTACAGATGCAGAGCTTCATTCTAATCTTGCCTCCCAAATCACACTGGATTTCTGTGAACGTGCTAGTAGCCTTTACACCCGAAAATACAAACCATGCTTCATAGAACAGAAGCACAGAATCGTAGAGGTTGGAAAAGCCCTTTAAGCTCAACAAGCCCAACCGTTCCCCTAACCCTGCCATCCCACCACTAAACCCTGGCCCTAAGCACCTCCTCTGCCTGGCTTTTAAATCACCCCAGGGATGGGGACTCAACCCCTTCCCTGGGCAGCCCCCCCCAGGGCCTGACAGCCCTTGCGGGGAAGGAATTTTTCCCAATGTCCAACCTAAACCTGCCCTGGCACAACTTGAAGTAATTTCCCCTCATCCCATCACCCATTCCCTGTGAGCAGAGCCCGACGCCCCCCAGCTCCCCCCTCCTGTCAGGCAGTTGTAGGCAGCGATAAGCTCTCCCCTCAGCCTCGT